CATTTGTCTGAAACAGTATAGGGTTTCCTGCCTAGGCAGGGGGCTGGACTAGAAGACCTCCAAGGTCCCTTCCAACTCTGTTATTCTATTCTATTATCACAGCAGAACAAACTGGAGATTCTCAGTCACCCTGGTCATGGCTCTCCCGAAGGTGCTTTTTTCAAGAGGCAACTGGACTTTCTGGTTTTTCTTTGAAGATGTTTTGCTTCTCACCCAAGAAGCTCCTTCAGCTTCTGGATGAGGAGCGAAACATCTTCAAAGAAAAACCAGAAAATCCAGTTGCCTCTTGAAAAAAACACCTTTGGGAGAACAAACTGTGCAGAACGCAGTTTAGTACAATCAGTAATCAGTACAAAGAAGAGGAAAAATACAGAAAAATATGCATCTACGTATGGGAAAATGAAGACAGGTAGTCCTCGACTTACATAACAGCTTGTTAGTGACCGTTCAAAGTTACGACGTCACTGAAAAATGTGGCTTATACTGGTTTTCACAGGTACGACTTGTGCAGCATCCCTATGATCATCTGATCAAAATTCAGATGTTTGGCACCTGATTCATATTTAAGACCGTTGTGTGTCCCAAGGTGATGGGATCCCCATTTGCAACCTTCTCACAAGCAAAGTCAATGGGGAAGCCAGTTTCATTTAACAACGGGGTTAACTAACTTATCAACTGCAGTGATTCACTTAGCAGCTGTGGCAAGAAAAGTCGTAAAATGGGGCAAAACTCACTTAACAAACGTCTCACTTAACAATAGAAAGTTTGGGCACTGCTAGTGTTAGTACCTAGTTTGGGTATTGAAAAGTCTGCAAGAAAAGAACCAAGCTCAGAGAGCACCACGGACGCCTCATTTCAACCCTGAGCTACAAATATTATCCTCTATTGAATGATATAGATAAATTCCAGATAGCATAAAAATTACGAACGTAAGATCTATAAAACTGTTACATCGATCTACTTAATGAAGCATATAAATTATCTATAAAACTTTATTTGCTTTATTTGAAACTTTACAGATCAATACATATTAAAATATCAGTACGAAGAAATGAAATGGAGGAAGTACTGTAGATTCCCTGATGGTGTACAATATTAAAGAAGGATGAATTGTAAATGTTTGCCTTCATGCAATATTTTAATCCATGA